CCCCTTTGGCCCACTTTCCCTCCTCCCTTTGTGGGAGCTGTGCAATTCTCAAAATGACTCCTTGTTGTCACTTTCTTCCTGGCGTCAAGTTCTTTCCTCCCCCTCCTCCTCCCCGTCCTCCTGTTCCTTTTACACTTCCTCTCTTCTTGGTCCTCTTCTCGATCCTCTTCCTCCTCTTTCTCCCACTCTTCCTCGCTGGCAGCTTGTCACATACCATCGGCAGCGATCGCAGTCCCACATGGCAGCACTTCCGTCTCTCCTCTCCTCCCTTTCTCCCTCCCTCCCACCCTTCCTTCCTCACCAAACTCGTTCCTCCTTTCTCATTCGCCAGTCTCTTTCCTTCTTTCAGCTTCGAACAAGGCCATTACCACTATTTATAGAATGTCAACTTGGACGCCAGCTATTTACAGCACGCCAACTTGCTCCAATAATGTCTCTGCGCAGATAACGAACACAACCATGAACCGATAGACACCATGAATGACCAACCTCTCTCCCTCTCCCTCCCCCTCCCCCTCCCCCTCACCCTCCCCCCAATCACCACCACCAGCAGCAACACACACACACACACACACACACAGTTTCACAGACTTAACGGCATTCTTGTCAAGGGGGGTCTGCTCATACTGTGGAGGGAAGTGGTCGACTTTACTCGGACCCCTTGATGGAGAAAAGGGGTCGACTTTACTCGGACACCTACCCTGCGGTCTTGTCAGAGGGGGTTGGCAACAGTCTGCCACGATTGCCGGGTAGGCGTCTGCGTAAAGTCGACCCCTTTTCTCCATCAAGGGTATCGCTAACTCAGGATGACGTGGGGGTAGTCCGCTCCTTATCCCTCCAGTCAAATGCATCCTGGGAAGACTGTCCAGGGGAAAGTTCAATCTCCTGACGAGTCGGGTGATGTCAGAAAAGTCCGACTGATGAAACAGTCTGGCGCAGTCCTGCTTTTCCTGTGCAGCTGTGTCCTGCTTTTTCTGTGCAGCTGTGTAAAAGTGAACATGGAACACACACACACACACACACACACACACACACACACACACACACATGAAACAAGGAAAGTGAAGACAGGAGTGCACAAGGAAAAGGCAATGTGTGTGTGTGTGTGTGTGTGTGTGTGTGTGTGTGTGTGTGTGTGTGTGTGTGTGTGTGTGTTCTGCGGTCAGAATCAGGTACTGTATTCAGCACGTTACGGGGCGAGGGTGAATTGGTTGGCAGAGCGAGAAGAGGAGGAAAAGGGTTGTTGCGCGGTCATTATCTGGTACTGTATCTGGTACTGTATTCGGCAAGGTACGGTGGAGCAAACGGGGTGAGGGCGAATTGATCCGAAGAGCGAGAAGAGGAGGAGAAGGGTTGTTTGGCGGTCGTTATCGGGTACTATATTCTCACCCCGTTTGCAGTGGAGCAAAAAGTGTAAGGGTAAATTGGTTGGAACAGAGAGAAGAGGAGGAGAAGGGTTAGCTTTCCCTTCCCTCTTGCTTTGCCACTGGTTTTCGGGCATGTGAAGTGGAGGACCGTACTTAGACGGTCGTAAGGCTTCCGGGTTAATGATATAAGATCACATTTCTCGATCATTGGGTTCGTCTCGGGGGCGTTAAGGCCACCAGGTATGGTGGAGCAAAGACGGCGTGGGTGAATTGGTTGGAAGAGCAAGAAGAGGGGAAAAAAGGAGGAGGAGGGGGGGTTGTTGGTCAGTTTGGTTGATGATACCCTCGCTTTCTGTGTTGTCCGGTTTTTCGGTATGTGAAGCGGAAAAAAAAAAATAGCGAGGAAGAGACGGATCGTGGAGAGCTATTAGAAAAAAAACTTGTGAGAAAGAATGTTACTACCAAGTGTTTTTTTTTTTTTTTTTTTTTTTGAGAAAAGAAAACAATTGATTGCTCATGAAAAAAAGAGATTTGAGGCCGGGTACCTCACAATATCCCGGAGAGGTAACCAGAAAGAGAATCAACAAAAGAGAAAACCCCAAATAGCAGAACCCCCCTCCCTGTCAGGGCTAGTCTAGTCTATTCTCTGTCAACTAGGCTAGTCTGGTCAATCAACTCCATGGTGTAGGGTGTAGTCGCACCACTTGCCATCCGCCAAAGATTCTGAAATTTTCTGAATGTGCATGTGCACAGCGTGCATGTCCAGATGCGTCTGGAATGTTGTTGGATGGCGACTGGTGCACTGCAACTAGGCCCCCTTGGGGGCTGATAGATAGATTGATACCCCCCCACCTCGATTGCGCCTGCGCCTGAAATGTACTTCACCCGTTACGAAAGAGAATCCTCCTCCTCTGGACAAAAGATGATGATACCCTCTCTCCTGAGGGCGGCACCCACCTAGTAGGGCCTCGCCAGAGTCGCCACACCACTCTCGAAATGTGAAAAAGACAAAAATGCGGCGGGTGCATCTGGCCATGTTCTAGAGGGAAGTTCGTTCTCATTTTGCACCTTTCGAGAGTGGTGGGGCGACGATGCCCCTACTCTTACAGTGTTGTGAAGTGGAACGAAGCGAATAATGAGAATTTGGAGTGTCCTCCCACAACAACTCCCATGAGTCCCATCAGTGAAGTTCTCTCCTTTTTTTTTTTTTTTTTTTTTTTTTTTTTTTTTGGACACTCAGTGAAGTTCTCGAGCACAGTTTTGGCTCCAATCTCACAGAGCCTCCCCCCCCGCTGAGTCCTGACCGTCTCTTTTCTTCCGTGGACGGGGGTTGCAAAGTGGACGGGGGTTGCACAGTGTGACACAAAAAACGCCTCTTTTTTTTTGTGTGTGTGCGACAGAGGGGACGGCGACATGTGCCAGCAGTGACGAGGGGGGAGGCGCACAGGGTCGCACGCAGAAAAAGGACGCGTCGGACAGACGTCGCACGGCCAAGGCGCACACGGCAAGGTGCACCTCAGCGCGTTCTCACAGTATTGACTGAGTAGGACTTTATAACTTATTCTGGGCGGAATTGCGGTCAGATACATTCGAGTAGGGCCGTAATACGGTCAGGTACATACATTTAAGATTGTGCGAGTGTGATGCGAGTACGCTCTCACTCTTGTTACTACTGTACTGGCACGACTCGCGCGACGGCGACGACGTTATTACGGATGACGAGACATCTTTTTTTTCTTTTTTTTTTTAATGACTAGACATCGGGGCCGTGGTCCCATTACAAAAGAGCATCGGATTGAATGTCTGAATGGACGTGTTTGAGGACAGGAGCAGGAAATCGAGATAGAACTGCTTTTCTGTATCTCTGCATAAAACATAGCCAGATTCAGGATTTTTATCCTATCCCTTCGCTAGTGGGACCAAGCCCAGGCGTCGCTGCACTGCTGTCGAAATGTGCAAAACGAGAGTGAATCTTCCGCTAGAACATGGAAAGATACACCGCCATGATTTTTGTCTTTTGCGCATGTCAAGAGTAGTGCAGCGAGGCCCATCTTGTAGTAAACGGTCCACCAAAAGTTAAAAAAAAAAAAAAAAAAAAGCAACAAAGATAGGTTGGTGATGTGGATCGCTCCACTACTCTCCCATGGACCAAAGACAAAAACTAGGGCGGTGTATCTATCCGTGATCTAACGGAAGATTCACTCTCATTTTGCACATTTCGACAGTAGTGCAGCGAGGCCCGATGGCGGGGGGGATGGTATCACAACGGAGGGAATTGCGCGTCCTTTTAGTGAGTGCGTGTGAATTAGGGGTGAATGAGTGTGAATTAGGGGTGAGTGAGTGTGAAGTAGGGGTGCGTGCTAACTTGAATAGCAAAAGGGGGGGGTGTGGTGGGGGTGGGGGGGGGACTGGGCTATAGGGTCCTCTCTGCGAGGTGGGCTCTGCCGTACCGAGGCAGCGGAGTCTACAAGTGATAAGGTAGTATAGGTGGATAGAAGACGGATGTCCTGACGACTGTTAAAGCCTGAGTGAGTGAGTGAGTGAGTGCTATAGATAGGACAACGGGCTCTGATCTACTGAGTGCTATTCCTGAGTGCTATAGATAATAAGAGAAGGGGATGATGATGTGGTGAGTGCCAAGAAGTGTGAGTGCGAGAGATAGGAGAACGGGCTGATATGCTCTTGTTTTTTTTGTTTTTTTTTTGGCCCATGCTGTTCCTATACGACGCGACTCTGCCGCACGATTGTTTGGGGAGGATTCCCGGGGCCAAGTCCCAGTAGCAGCGTTAATCTGGACGTGTTTGTGAAGACGTGCAGTTCAGGAAACTCAACACCATTTCTGCACATCTCCGCAAAAACATCCAGATTCGGGCGTTGAGGTAGCTCAACGCTGCTAGTGGGACTTGGCCCCCGGCCTCTTCTCTGGGTGTGGGTAATCGAATGAGCTGAGTTTTCCTGTAAAAAAAAAAAAAAAAAAAAAAAAAAACCTCTGCCTCACGTGGTCTGGTGCGAGGCGGGTAGATCCTCGATCTTGGCGCGCTGTGACAGCTCCACCTTGGCGCACGATGCGGATTTTTTTTATCGTTTTCTCTAATCGTGCGGTCACGCTGCTGCGCGCCAAGCCGTGACCTCGGGCAATCGCCACGTCAGTCGATCATTGTCGTCCACAAAAGGTTGAGATCTCCCAACTGCGCGCCAAGCGGCGGATTGGAAAAGAAAAGAAACACAAAGAGTAGAAAAAAAGTGGAACCAAAAAAAAAAAAGAAGTGGAAAATCAAAATTTGTGTTTGTTATCTGCCCAACTGCGCGCCAAGCGGATTGGAAAAAAAAAGAAACAAAGAGTAGAAAAAAAAGTGGAAAATAAAAATTTGTGTTATCTGTCTGCCGAACTGCGCGCCAAGCGTCTTGATTACTGCAGGCAGGTTATCTGCCACGTGTCGCCATCCCATCCAGCCGGCGATTCCAGCTTCTCTAGTTAATCGGGAGTTGAGTCAATTGAAAAAGAAAAAAAAACTGAAAAAAAAAAAAGTAAATTAAGAATACGTGAGAGGTTGACCTGTGGAAACTTCAAATCGATTTGTCCCGTTCTGAAATAGAGCGCG